CCCCCCCCCCCCCCCCCCCCCCCCCCCCCCCCCCCCCCCCCCCCCCCCCCCCCCCCCCCCCCCCCCCCCCCCCCCCCCCCCCCCCCCCCCATCAATAAGACAGAACTCACGATCAAATTTTGCGATGACTGATCATGCTATTAAATATTTTTTGCGAGAAATAAACATGAGAATATTGATTGTTAAGCAAAATTACAATTGCAAAGAAATGAAAAATTAAGAAGCATGATATGTGCCAAAGTTTAAGAAAAGAAGCATGCTGAATTATATGATCATTCATCTTTAAAGACATTGTTGGACAGTACACTTGAGTAACGAATATGAGAAAGAACATATATTAGATACAAGTAACGTTCATCTTCGATTCACTGATCCTTGACTGAAAGTCCGTTTCCGACAAGAATTCTGACCGACGGGTCTCTTCAGATGTTACGATCATTTTTCAGTTTTTCTCAGCGAAAACAGGCAAAAATGGAAAAATTCGTATCGTTGTCAAGCAGAGGCGTATATATCGCAGATTTATAAGCGTGACTCGTCAGTAGGTGTACCATAAATGAAAGGAAACTCATTGAAGATTACATCGTACAAAGCTGCCGCCAGGATATAAAATGTGCAAAATTCAATTTTGGATCGTTTTCTCAGTGACACCAAAGCTGCTAAATGCTTGCTTCACAGTAGAAAATGCCAATTATTAATCAATAATTGGCAAATAATTAATTAAATTTTGCAACCAAAAGCCCATGTTCAGTTGCATGGATTCTTCGGCTTTTAAATGGTGAGTCGACCAATAGCCGGAATTCTCGGCTTCTTAGACACAAAAGTGGGAAAAATTCTTTTTTTGTCGCTAGTGCTCGGGAGGACGCGTATGACGATGTCGCTCGTTTACTGCAGACGGTCGGACGGACATTTCGTTTGTATGACCCAAGACTTTCAGTCAAGGGAATAACAATAAAATGACGTTACGCGAAGCTCCTTTGTCCCAGGCTGCCACGAATTTAAGAATTTTGATATTGTTCCTACATTTTAATTTAATTTTTTGTATGTGATGTGAGAAACTTAATTTATTATCAATCCATATTCTCAGATATTTATACAATGGGACCATTTCGAGACGATGACCATTGTAATGGAGATTGATAATATAGGGCAGTGTTAATTGACGAAAAAAACTTTGAAACTGCGTTTTTTCATACTGGCCACCATTTTCCACGGAAAAGGGCATCTAACGATTTTTGAGACTGTTTTTACAAGAGTTGAAGGTTATCGATAAAGGCAGAAGGACTAGTGTGACATACAACAGTATCGTCAGCATATATACTTGGATCACTTAATAAAATCACTTTCTTGTACGGACGCTCAACACTAGGCAGTAGAATCCTGTGTTCATATCAGAAGACTTGACAAAATTGAATATGGACATGCTGATTAAAGCCAAAAATCGTCTGGGTTCAAAGAACGTTTTCACA